CTCATAACTTCATAAAAATCACTATTTTTATCCTTGTCAAAGATGGCCTACTGGTACGACAGGTATCATATTTACACTTAAAAAATTTCATCTAGTGTATATTTAAAAGTAAAAGAAGAAAATAATAACAAAAGATGGGAAAACGCGATGCATATATTTACCTATGTTGTTACACATGCAAATCGGCCGTTACTTTTTGTGGCGACTGTACATTTTACCTTTAACCGCATCCAAGTAACGGACCCGGGTCTATTAGGGGTATTTGTGTCAGGCAATTACGGAGGAAAAAATAGATTTAAAATCAGGTGTCTAATTGTTGATCGTAAATTACTATAGTTACGACGTTGATTGCTATAATCACGAAATATCACATTGTTTTTGAACGTGACTTGATTGTTAACCCAATATATGAATCTGCTCCAATGGTATAAGGAATTACGAGATTTAGCGTTACAACGGTAACAATGCATTTTTTTAATCGAACAGATGAAAAAGAGATTTACCATACCATGAACTCCTAACAAATCTATTAAGCCTTATAAACAATGCTGGGATATACATCAGATAATCGACCCGATATTCATGAAGTGAATCATACACTTAAAGAGTGGCCGCCATAGGAAAAACAAAGATAGTTCATCGAAATTATCAGTAGACTTATCAGATAATAAATAATAAATAATACACTCGGTACATTTCAAGCAGTAAAACTGAGATGAAGAAAATATAGATGACAGGTTATTACCACCACAATTAATTCCTAAAATTTTAACCACCGGAAAAGTCTTATTAGAAATGATCATCAAACATTTTTACAACATGCTGAAGAGACACTGGGAAAGCCAGTATATTAACTACGTATAGACATAATTGTGACAATGTTACAAATAAACTTTATTTTCCACGATATAATCTTTATCGGAATATGGAATAAATGCTGTCAAAATTTTAAATTAACATTTCAAAAACATCAAAACATGAACAATTCAAAATGATTTATTATCGCAACTTTTACTTGCAAATTGTTTCTTTAGGGAATCGGGAACACAAAAAAGCATTTGAGTAGTATTTGAAGTCAAAAGAAAATGGAAAAAGAATAAAGTAAATTTATTACGTATAACACAAGATGTGAATTTGATAGGAATCTTGTAATTTATTTCTATGAATCAAGAATAACGTACAATACGAATGTTTATGAGTTTCCACTGATAATCACATTCTCAGAAGCGTAAAGTAAAATGCTTGTAGGAAATTCGTGTTATTGGGGGAGACAATGCTGATATTGCTACCACAAATTAAGCATTTTTCGAAGCCAATGATAAATGTACAGTCGCCACAAAAAGTACGCCCGACTTGCAACGTAACAACATAGATAAATATATGCGCCGCATTTTTCCCCTTTTTGTTATTGTTAAACCTAATTTTTTTTATTTTCTTCTTTTACTTTTAAACATACACTAGGCGAAATTTTGTTAGGTATAAAGATGACCAGTTGGCCGACATTGACAAGGATAAAATAGTAATTTTTATTGAAATCATGAGTGCCAAGCGAGCTGTAAGAAAAATGTGCCGTAACCCGATGATAGTATAATGTTCTCTTATCAAGTACAAAATAAACAGGAAAAACGAAAATTTACCACCGTCTGGGAGACCATAAGCTCATAACAATTAAGAAAAAAAATGTACATATACAAGGAGCCGAAAAAGACATCTGTGCAAAAACTGAAGATTCCCTAAGGTGATTTTGTCCCTTCTCATAATATAATTTGTTCATTGATTTAAGAGAACATGGATGGATGTTTCTGACATTTTGGTGCCACGAAATCGATAAAATCAACGATTATTGTGTTTTCGCGACCTAAACTTCATAGAAATGTCTGTAATTCATTGGGGAACAATATTCAAAAGTGTAAAAACTTTCCAATATCATGAAAAAGCTCAAGACTATGGTGCAAACAGTCTAAAGACATCAAAATATTTAATTATTATTTTAAACTATTTTATATGTATAAATATCAAACAGATGTTATTAAATAGCCTTTGAGATGTTCTATAACATTACGTATTTGTTGTTTTATTTGTAGTTAGACATTTTTTAATGTCAATTTTATCAAATTTTGATTGGCTAAATTTCGACACGCAAAAATTACATTATTATTTTTTATACAAATTTATTTTTGGAAATGATAATCCTTCAAAAAAAAAATTCAACGGTGGGATGCGACTAAGCCGTTTGCATCATACTAGAAGGAAGCATGATCAAAATATAATGTGTTGGTTTTTGAGGAGAAATCAAAGCAATATTAAAACCATATGAAGAGATAATAATTTATTAGCTAGTGGTAAAAAAAAAGATTTTAAGACAGAAATAAATAAATCGGCTATGTATCATTTTTAAGGAGTTACTTTTTGTGGCGGCTGTACAAGCAACGCATTACTAATTAAGGATACAAAAATTAAGGATCTATAGGTTTCGTCCATCGTCAATCGTCAATTCGTCAAAACAAAATTACTTGAAGCTCGTCATTCATTAATTTACATGTAGACAAAAGTAAATTTGGATGTATTTATTTACAAAGATAGTGAGAAATTAATCTAGAATCTTGCTTCGACATCAGTGTTCTTTGATCCCAAAAGGCTGCAAAACCATCATACAAACATAACTTGTTCTGCGTAACCATCCTTTCCTTTTTTTATATAGAAACTTGGTGAGAACAATATCATGTATTGTATATACAATGCTAAAAAAAATACTATCGTTATACATGTATCAATAATACGCCTATAATATTCATAATTGCATATTTAACTATAAAAAAAGCATTATTAAATGCATTTTACAATACGAATTATTATGGTTGGACCTCCCTAAATGTAACCTCCCTAATATCTCTCTATATCTCTCTTAATGTAAGCTTAACTGTAAATGCAATTTTTCTTATTGTTCTCTAGTTGGTCTGAGCAAGGGAGAACTGTATATTTCAGCAATATTTATTAGTAAAACAAACTTATATAGATATACAAACGAGAGGATAGCAATAGAATCTGGTGATATCGATCACCATAGATGTATGTACATGTACATATATATTCTATAAATATATCGATATCGTATTGTTTGCAGCAAGTCATACATGTACAACACATGTTAAATTCGATCATGTAATGTATCGGTATTGTTGTATTATTTAATTTAAATGAAATTGAAGTGATTTTTGGAACAAAATTTTTATAGTAAGCTATAATTAGATAGTAAAAAGCACATTATTCTTTGCAGTGTCAACTTGTGATTCTGTTATAGAATTCACAGTCTGACATTCTACAATTTTGGATATAAAAGATAAAATCATTAATCTATCACTGTATACTGTATACTGTAAACTTATAAATGTGATTGTATGAATTAAAACTATATTTATACAGTATCTGAGATGTTACATATTAAAATGTGTGAAAGATAGAGTATGTAATCTCTCACATCCAGTGGTCCGATTCGAGCAAAAATATTCATTCAATTCGTCTAGTAGAGACGAATCAAATGGCAGTATTTGTGTAAGAACCTTAGTTTATTAAAAAATAGGGTTAGATGATTTTCTTTTTTTTGAATATATATAATCTTGTGATTATAAAGAGGAATTTTTATTATTTGAAAAATTTGAACACGTGAGTAATTTGCAATGACAATTCGAATTGTCGCGTGACGTATATATCTAAATACAAAATATATTAAATACGTATAAGATGATGTATTAAAATAATAAGTTGAAAACACAATAAATACCATCTGGCAGTCTGTATAGAAATGCAGTTGAAGTAAGTCCTGGAAAAAAAACGGATTTGAATCTTCTTATTTCCATTTCAATGTTAAGTAATATAGACTCAAGGGAAAACTTACCCGTTGCTTCGATAGTTTTTGAGATCGATTTACTTTTGTATATCGCGCCTTCGTGAATTTCAGACCTCCTTTTTCTATTTTCTATACTTTTTTTAAATTCATTTTGAAGTCTAAGATAGTTCCATTCTCCGATCGTATTAAGAATTTCATTTGCTGTTGGCCGTTTCAATGGATCCTGAGCCCAACAACGAATCATTAGATCTCGATAATATTTAGGCATATCATCAGGAACATCCGGCCGAATTTTTTCATCACAAATATTGAAAATGAGTGCGAAATCATGACTACGGTTATTAAACGGACGCTTTCCATTCCAAATTTCCCACATTATCATTCCAAAGGAGTAGATATCGCTTGCAGTAGTGTATTTTTTAGATTGCAGGACTTCTGGAGCAATGTATGGTATTATGCCACACACCTCATCATCTGTAATTTCAGTAATTTTTCTACATCGTCCAAAATCGGTTATATATAAAAAATATAAACTGCATAAAATATTGCCACTATGCAAGTCCCGATGAATGTATTGACGTTCATGTAAAGATTGTAATCCTATAGTTAAATCAAGTAAGTGGTCATGTAAATAACGGTAGAAGATATTCCCGTTTTTAATTAGATCATATAGTGAACCGTTTGCATAAAAGCGTAGGACTAGTATATAATTTTCCGTTTCTGAATCTCTAGAAATTCCAAATATTCTCGCCATCTTATTAAAGTGACTATTGATAACGGCAGATTGAATCTATATATTTATATATGTGTATTTAAATAATATAAGTTAAACCAAATTTAAATTTAATCGATTCAAAGTAAATATTTACTTACTTCTTGAATTGTATTACAATTTGCATTACTTGAATTAAATATCATCTTTAGTGCAACAAGACTTGGTCCTGCTCGAACTAATTTTCTTTGATTTTCATCGAAATTAATTACATAGCCTGGACTCCAAATTGCTTTTGATACGCTGCCAAAACCTCCTTCAGCAATTAATTCTATTTCACTAAATTCTTCATACTCAACCCATTCGAGGAAAATTTCAAGTTGAGCTTCTTTGATAATTTTATCAATTTTTTTATTTCCGCTACTCCATGCAGGGAGATCACAGGTAGAACAAAACTGATAAGTATTTAATTTTTCATGACATTTTGAGCATTTCACCTTTTTTTCGTTATTTGACAAATACATTATAAGCGTAAAGTATAAAGTGCAATAGATATCCCCTCCTGAGACGAAACCTTCTTATACCAAACTATAGTCCGACGACGAACAAAGAACACGAATATTTAATTTTGACATTATATTTCGTTACCATTTATAAACATTATCATTTCCTCATTAACATTAAGCGTATGAGGGTTAAACACGTAAATAATGCTATAATGTTGCATTAATTAGTTTTTATTCTTATTATACGTTATATGCATTATGTGATTATTATAGTATTCCCAATATTTATTTTACTAAAGATACGAAAAAGAAACGCATTATACATTTATGAATGTATGTTGACATGTGCATTCAACTAAGTGGGGTATTGAATTAAGAAACATGTTCTCAATCTTTTTATATTATCCACAAATTTTTATTTATTTTTACTTAGGGCTTACTAAGAGCATGATTTTTTCTGATAAAATTGTTCTCTTGAGAACATTTTTTAATTGCGTAATAGCGGACATCCCCGAGTAGATACTTAAGAGCAGATTTTTCATATGATTGACTAATGTAAATCAATTGTCTGGGTAACTATATTTATACACTTTAAAGTACTTTTCAATAATTTAATATTTCACTAATAAAACAAAATAAAAATTTTTACTGTGTCTAGCTTTGAAAGAATATTATCGTTCACTGTGCAAAAGGATCAAAAAAGAATCAAAAACCCAGAGAACTTTATTTAGAAGACAAATATGCCACCAACTATTACTATTACTGGACCATGCATAATTACCATATGCCAGAGACGGTCAACCAATTGGAGAAGGGTAACTGAGTTTGTTATTGCCAAAGGCCAAGCTAACAATACAAACTTTGTACGTACGTCTACATGGGCAGCCTACGAATATTCTGCCCAAGATATTACGTTTTTAACAAAAAAAAATGCGTGTTTTCTTTTGCAGTGTTTTTCAGAAATCTATACATGTTTATTTTACAATAAATCACCATTAATATTTCCATTACAGATTATCACGAATCCAAATCCATCTTTGAAGAGGGCAAGCAAAAAGTTAATGATGCTACCGTTTCATTATTGTGATGCGTGTAACTGTCCAATTTCTTTATTAATTAATACAGATCCGATTAAAGTTTTAGCTTGCGGTCACATTTATCACAAGTCCTGTTATACCAACAGTGTGTGCATTGTCTCTCATTCTTACAAACTGGAATTGATGAACATGTCCAGTCTTTACTAGAATGCTTGCAACGTTTCAAAGAACAGCAAGAAGTTGAAGATCCGGAAAATAATATTCCCTGTGACGATGATGATGAAAGTGAACCCATAGAATATATAGCAGATCCGGAAAATAATATTCCCTGTGACGATGATGATGAAAGTGAACCCATAGAATATATAGCATTTACATTAGAGGAGGCATTGCGTAAATTTCAACAGTAATAGACAATTTTTTTTGCTCTAAATTACGATTTTATTAAATTATAATTCCACGAGATATTGATTGAATAATCACTACTTTTTTTGGCCTCCATTATTTTCCTATTAACGTTAAATCGAAAAAAAACAAATAAAATTAGTGTAACAATAGTAATCTAAAACATTACATATCGATATTTAATTAATATGATTGCATGTATTATCGTTATTGTATAACGATAATCATCCTTAATCGATCTTTCTATGAGACAACGGGCAATCGTGAAATTTTGTGTTACTTTAATATCGGATTGGATTCCATTTGCATCAATTACGACTTGCACTCTTCTCAGCATACTTTCAACCAAATTTCCGGTTCAATTATTTCCCATTCCTCTGCAAGTGCATCCATCAATTCTTCCAAATTTTGGGATGATTTGGACATTTACGAATTCGTCTTTCCAAAACATCTCACAAATGCTCAATTGGATTTAGATCAGGGCTCTGGGCAGGCCTCTTTCCATTAACTAGCTGGACCAAATCTGTGAACTGGAGCATTGTCATCTTGAAAAAGATGATGGCAAATCATTTAGAAATGGCAGAAAATTCTGTTCCATTATTTCTATATACTTTATACCAGTAATTCTACCCTCAACTTCGATTAAAGGTTCAAATGCATTTTGAATAAAACATCCTCATATCATTACTCCTTGATTACCCAATTTTATAGTAGGAAAAAGACATTCAACTTCATATTTTCATTGGTTTCATTGCTGGGAATAATTTCAGAATATTAAATATCTAGATTCGTCACTCCAAACTACTAATTCTCATTCATTAATCCTATCTTTTCTTTCTAAACACCATTTTAATCATTGTTGATGGTTTTCCGGTTTTCTCGTCCCAGCCCGACCAAAAAACCCAGATTCATGAAGAGCACATCGTATAGTTCTTTCACTAACAGTTATAGTCATAGCAGTATTGAATTTTTGGTAATTACAGCAACTGCTTGTTGTCAATCTTCTTAACAATATTAATTAATCTTCGAGTGGCTAATTTTGGTGATCTACCATTTCGGGCAACAACTGTAGTGTACCCAAAGTCTTTATATTTATTAATAACATTATGAACAGTAGATTTGGGCCATCCCAGAGTATCTCCAATTTGTTTTTCGGATAAACCACACTTCCAAGCGCCAATAATCTCGCCACGCTCAAAATCTGTAAGTTCGCAATTTTTACGAGTATTAGTTGGGTTTGACATTGATTTTTTTTATTTTGTTCGAAAGCTTGAGATTTTAGCTTTCTAATGTACTATTGTACGTTGTAATTGAACCTTTCCTTGTTGCAAAATGCCCCTTAATTACGCTGATCATAAGTCTAACGAGTGTACATGTAGCCCCTGACTTCCAATTTGCATGTGCGAGCATATGTAATACATGTATTATATAAAGCACAACGATATCTATACAAAGTTTTTTTTAAAAATCGTTTTGCAGTATACATAAACTAAAAAAAAACGAATATCGATATATTTTCAGAAGTACCCGTGTTGTCAATCGATGGAGTTGATCAGATATAACGATAATGCTAACCATTTTACATGTATTTATTGCTATTACATGTATATGTTGGTCTGTTTGAAATAGGGTCCCAACATTTTTCAATAATAAATTTGAACCATCCGGGGACATTATTTGATATTATAGGTCATTGTCTATTGACGAGATCTCTATCATGGTTTCGTTCCCAGAATGACTTTAGTGTACCGTAAATTTCTTGATTTTTTATATCTGTTGGATCGGTATGACCAAAAACTCCAATGAAAACTTCAATATGTAATAATATGTTTCCAGGGTGAAAATCAACTATCCACAAGTTCCTTTTCGTGGATTTTTTAGAACATAGATAATATACAGTAAATATCCTGATTTTCTTCCCAGCTCAATTCATCAGAGTTGGAACTAATATATTTGCGAATGTCAAAATTAGCATAATCAACATGATCCCCTTTGGGATACTGTAACCCATTACTATCGAATATTCATTTGTAGTTGAGTTTTTAGTTATTCCATAATAACTTATTCCAATGTAACCATCGCTGTACTTTAGAACAGCCCGAATCTATTTTTAATAGCTTAATTGTATTAGAAAAATATCGGCTTTTAGTGCGCATTAAAATTGTAAATTTCTACCTCTTTTATAATTCGGTTTGAATCACATGATTTAACACAACTTCGCGTTTATTGACGTCGTTAGATCGTTGAAACCTTATTTTCCTCATGATCCCACTTGTAACAGTATAGTGATGCTTTATAAACACCTTTTGCAAGATATTCAATATTGGTAAATTTCTAAAGGGATCCAATGAAAATGCCTTCGGATTCTTTTTATCAAACTGTCGATATCCTTGTTTTCCCTGGATAAATCAATTTTATAAAGTTGATAGTGATAATCAAAACATTCACTGCAACGATTGTTTTCTTGGCAATGAGTTCCCGATAACCCAACTTCCCGAAATTCCAACATCCCGACAATCCAAACTAGTCCATATAGAGATCGACAACTAGCATTTATTAACACTTAAACATCAACGTGATAAATAATTCTTGGTATTATTTTTAATTCGTTAATAACTAACTGATTTAATATAAAAGGGAATTGAACGTAAATCTTTTATAAAAGAATAAAAGCAACACATATAATTACGAAGAAACATTTATAATAATTCCCTCTCTATCAATTATATTCTTTTTTTGCTTTGGACGTTGTTTAGGGCTTTTGTCGGGGAAGTTGGATTGTCAGGAAGTTGGGTTGTCGGGATGTTATGTTGTCGGGATGTTAGACTGTCGGGATGTTGGGTGGTCGGAAGGTTAGAATTTCGGGAAGTTGGGTGTCGGAGTTTTGGGGTGTCGGGATGTTGGGGTAGACCCATTTTGTTCTTCATGATGAGCGCCACAACTATGTGTTTTGTCTACTATTATCCAATTGTGATGATAGTCTACAATTTTGCAATAATCATCATATTTCCTCGTTACCATTTACAACAATTGTCATTTCCTTGTTATCTGTAAAAACACTAAGCTAATAAAAATACTATGCTATTTCGGGATTCTGTACAAGACACTAAATAACTAAATGCGATGATATAAAAATTATGTGTTCACTATCCTCATCCCGTGGGCACTTTAAATGGCATTTTAAAGGTATTATATTTATTATTATTAAAAAATACTTCCGGTCTAGAATATATTATTAATAAACAAACTTTATATACTAATGAGACGATATTCATTATCGTTATGAATAGGACTTTAAAAATTATTGTGTGATACATGATCAGTAGATCACACCCCCAAATAGGTTCGTATGCCTAACGTTAACTAGAATAACGGTGAAGTCATTATGACTTAAGAATCGCGATTAATTCCATTATAACGATAACGTAATAATGATATTAATATCGATATTGTACATGTAGTACAGTACCCGGCCAATTAATAATCACGATTTTATTTTCCCTTGATTTTTCCCGCAGTATGTATCGGCGCATTGTCATGTTGAAAGATTGCGTAAC